ATCTCTGGATTTCTTTGATTAGTAGCAAAGTTAAGCTTTTTATTTATTTTCATGAAGTGATAGGTTATATATTTTTATTTGATTATTTATCACAGCTCTCCTCAAACATTTTTCTATTTAGCATATGAAAGGTGACAATGATGACTGACATTTATCAAGTATTTAGTGTTGAGGTAAGCAATTTAAGGGAGGCAGGAAGTAACTTCACTATGTTTCTCAAAGTACCAGCCCTGGTGAGTGCATCCCTCTTGAGCCACTGGATGTGAAAGCACAGAGAAGCTGTCTGTCCTTTCAAGAGACACCATCTCCTGTCCTGGCATCCAGCTCAGCTGCTCCTGCTATGCTGGGGACAGGTTTGCTGCTTCTCCTCAGGTACTGCTGAAGTTTGGCTCTCGAATGTCCCCAAAGGCCTATGTGTTGGAGTCATGGTCACCAGTGTGGCATCTTGGGAGGTGGTGCAAACTTAAGAGGTGACACTCCATGGGAGGTCCTCAGGTCATTGAGAGTGAGCCTTTGCACGGGACCCCAGCCCCTTCTTTCTCCTCCTCTTCCACTTCCTGGCCACAAACTGAAGAGTTTGCTCCAACACCTGCTCCTCAATAGTGGCCTAAAACTAATGCCCCACTCCCATCCCAGTCATTGACTGGAACCTCTAAAACTTTAAGCCAAAATAAACCTTTAATCTTTGTAAGGTGACTAATTTGGGTAGTGTTTTGCTATAGTGAAGGAAACATTTACATACAAGACCATCTCTCCAGAGTCCTCCAAGCAATGACTGAAGAAGTCTAGCAATGGAGAGCTTATTGTTATGCTGTTCTAATTTTCATTTTAAAAAAAGGTTCAGGGAGCCAGATGTGGTGGTATATTCCTGGCATCCTTCTACTGGGCACATTGAGGAAGGAGGATCAGGAGTTTGAGGCCAGTTTGGACTACATAGTAAAACTTTTTAGGAAAAAAGAAAAAGAAAGACTCAAGGATAAAGGGGAAATGCATTACATCCTTCCATAGTCTTTGAGATAAACGAGTTTAAAATAACCAAAAAAATTCAACTTTTTATTGTAAACAGAATAAATGCATAAATCAGCTACCTTTTCAATTTTTAAAAAGAACATGTTTGCAAAACAAACACAGCCCACCAAGTACCAAACACTGTCCTGTTTGTTTGTCCCCAGGGCTATTGTAAATAAAGTAGCTGGAGGCTGCCTCCAATTTTAAGTCTTAAGTTCCCTAGGGGCCTCCCTAATTTTTAAAAGAACTTACCAGTTACTGTTTTTGAACTGTGTAACTGAGTAGTGGAGAATATCTGTGTTACCTAAGCCTCTGTGCAGTCCTGTGGATGCCACCACGGTCACCTGTGCGGGTCATGTGGCCACCGGGGCACTGAAGCCCAAGGCCAGTGTGGTTCAGGCAGCACCTAAGAGCAGCAGTCAAGGACCTCAGCCCCTTCCAAGCCTTGCTCCCTTCATCAGGGCATGCACCCTTGTGTGGAGGGGACCCGGGCTCAGCTTCCCCTCATGCTCAGCCAGGGCCAGGAACCTGACTCTGAAAGCAGTGACCAGGAAACTAAATGACCAAAGAGTTTACATGGAAGGTGACTTCCATTTCTATAGTTAGCCTATATAGTATTGTTAGGTGTTTTTAAGTATAATTCTGAGCATGGTAGATCTTGCATGTGGTTTCCTGAGTAAGAGCCTGCTGACTTTCAGGCAGTGCAACTACAGTGAGGATGAGGTCCAGGGCCTCCAGCAGCTCTTTTGGAAGACGGCATCTGAGAAGGGCAGGAGAGTCACATAGCCAGGAGTGGGAGCGGAGCAGTCTTCACAGGCAAGCAGCCCGCACAGGCAAGCAGCCCTCAGGCAGCTCCTGGGTAGAAGGGTGAGTGACCTGTTGTCCCGGCAGCCAGGCAGTTGCCAGGGAAGCTCTGCTGTGACAAACACGGGTAGGAGTGTGGAGCCTGCGGTGAGTCCTGCAACCCCAGGCCGGGCAGATGGAGCCAGGCAAGGAGAATCCAGGTTGGAGTTGGGGCAAGAGGTAGAAGGAAGTGGAAGAGATGGTGAAGCTCCGGGTCACTGAGCTTCTCCCCCAGGCCTCCCAGAAACCTTCATGGCTTAGGGAGGCCCTTAGGGAACTTAAGACTTAAAATTGGAGGCAGCCTCCAGCTACTTTATTTACAATAGCCCTGGGGACAAACAAACAGGACAGTGTTTGGTACTTGGTGGGCTGTGTTTGTTTTGCAAAACTAAGAGCGGCTGTGGGAATTTACATAACTATTAAATTACAACTCTTGATAATTTCTTTATTTTGTTCTAGAGTTCTTTCCTGGCAGTTTGGGGTGAAGTTAAAAATGACATTTATTTTGAGCTCTGCTTGTTTGTATGTTAGCAGAATGATACATTGTTTTTCAGTAAAATCCCAAATAATGTAAAAATTACATCAATTATCACAAAACTAATATGTGGTAAGGCTGCTTCTAAATATAGGATGATATAATGAACATCTCTTTTGTAATTTTAAAAAAAGGAAACCTAGCAACAGAGCAGATTGCTTTACTCCTCCAATTTTTATGAAAAAAGATTCATAGTAAAAAGAGATTTATTACATTGTTAAGCACTCTTGGAGATTATGGGGGCTTTGTCAGGATGGATACCCTGTCTGCAGCCTCAGCTGCCCCATGAATCCGGATCTCCAGCGGCCTGGCTATGTTACCTGGCTCACAGGTGCATCTCTAGTCCTAAAACTTTCCTTCGTACATCTCCGGAGTTTCACTGCAAGTTATTTATCGATAGCCACACCACCCATAGCGTAAAATACAAACCTCATCATCATTTTTAGAGAGCAACTTGGAAATGCAGGTCTTGGGAACACTCCACATTTGAAGTGTAAGGCCAGGAGACAGGAAGTTTCAGAGAAATTTTAGTTTCTAGAAGGGCCCCCAGCCCACCCCCAAGATGCTGTCTGACTTTCACAGTTGGTGCCAGATGTCCACGGCAGCCCCAGGGGCAGGGGAGCGGCACACTGGACCAGAGAGAGCCACAGAGCTGGGCTGGCTTGGGGTCTGGATGGAATCCACACTTCCAAGTTGTGGCCAAGGCTCCCGAGGTAGCAACTCACACCCTCAGACCCAGTTCAGTGTTAGGTTTCCAGGGCAGAAAAGAACCAAAGAAAGAAAAGATAAAAGGCCTTCACTCCGACATGGAAAAGAGAATAGAGCATGTGGTACTGGACAACTCTGGGGCTGGACAAAAGAGCTGGGGTTTAGAAAGACTCTGGCTAGGGGCGGAGCTTAAGGGGCGGGCTTAGTGACGTATCAGGAGCTGATTGGGGATTTCTTCTCTGCAGGAAGGGCAAATGGAAGTTGTGCTCGGCTCTGAGGAGAGGAGAAAGGGGTAGGGGTCATTGGGAAGATCAGCAGTTGTTTTGGGCTTCAGCCATGTTAGACCACCACCACCACAATAACTCAGCAGTTCATACCCGGGCAGGAGCCTATCATTCAGGTCTCCATCTAGAGATCTAAACGGAGGCAGAGAAGTCCCTGAGGATCATGCTCACCTCCTTCCTTCACCTGGCAACCACATGGCCTTGAGGTCAGTGACCAAAGTCACAGTCAATGAAAGAAGTGTAGGAGCTGAACCCAGGGCTGCTGCCATCCGGTGTTCTTCCGTCATCCTGGGGCCTAGGAGCAGAAATGGAGCCCTCTTGGGGCAGGTTCTCCTACAGGACCTGCCCTGTCTCTGCTGAAGGGGCCCTGAAACCCCTCGCCACTGCCGCGACGCCCAGCACCCAGGCCCCTTTCTTCCCTAGTGGCATCATCAAAGCTCCTCCCTCAGGGACCACATCTTCGCATCACAGGGATACGCAGTGCCATTCAACATTTCTTTGGTGGTTTGGAAGAGGAGTCGGCAGTCAAATTTTCAGACTCAGAATTCTGACCTCTGTGATTGTCCACAGGGAGAGATAGTGCTGCCCAGCAGTGCCGCTCCTAGGTCGCCCAAGTGGTGGTTCTGCGGCTCTGGGGTCTCCTACCGGGAGAGATGCCCTCTGAAATGCCTCGTTCTGACTCACCCTCCATCTTCACCGCAGGCAGTGGCGGCCCGGTCTGGACATGGCAGCTGGTCCCCACCCTCACCTGAAGAGTGTGCTTCCTTCTTTCCTGAGCAGCCGCCCTCCACACAGCTCTCAGGAGCAGGTAATCTTCTGAAAACAGGCAACAGAGGAGATAAGTAACTGTGTTTAAATTCTAGAAGCCTGTCAGGCTTCACTTTTCTCCCTTATGTCATTTAGTTGGAACTGTGGTTATACAACATGTCTTCAGCAAGGTCAGGCTTGGGATGGAGAAAACTGTGTGGAAATCCAGAGAAAGTCTCACATTTGGAGGTCCTGAAAACTCCAAATGATAGAGAATTTGCCATGGAGAGGGACATGGTTTATACATTTAAGGGTTTCTACTTCTTCAGCTGTTGCTTTTCAAGAGATGAAATATAAATGTTTATTTTAATACAACTACAACTTGTTATAGTAACATGTAGTTTCTTACATATTTGAAAAAACCAAACTTAATCCCATGGAACCATCAATATCCCAGCAAAATCAAAAGACCCACAGTGTTGCGTGGGGTGTGTAGAACCTCCTCCACCATGGAAGGTACTTTCTGGTGTGTGGCATGAAGTGGTATGAGATCTAGGGATGGGGGAAGTGCAGAGAGAGTTCACAGAGCAGGAGAGAGGCCAAAATGTTGAGTCCTGGAAGTGGCTCAGATGTCACTGACCCTGTGAACTTGAACTGGTCAGCCCCATAACTGACTGCTGCAAGGTCTATCATTTCTTTTCCTATGGCTGCTCCTGTTTCTGCAGCATCTCGGGTCCTCTGCCCTCAAGGAATGTGGTGAGTGGCTGCTGAGCTTGTGGGGCCAGGTCACTGTCTGTAAGGCAGATGGCCTCCTCCTCTGTCCTAAAGGTCCATGTAGGAATGTGCAGACACTGTGAAGCCACTGGCTGCTGTGGTAAGGCTGCTTTTGTAATTTTCTCTTTTTGGGAGATGGTAGCAGTCCTACCTCTGGAGATGGTAGCAGTCCTATTCTGGGGAGGAATATTAGTCAGCTTTCTCATTACCAGGGCATAATATGCAATACCCACAACTTAAAAGAGGAAATTTTTGGTTTGGTTCATGGTTTCAGGAGATACAATCCATAGCCAGCTAATCTGAAGACGGAAATATCATGACAGAAGGTGTGGTGGTAATGGCAGCCAGAAAGCAGAGCAGGGGAACAGTGCCAGAAAAGAACGGGCAAGGAAGTAGATATACTATCCAAAGTCACACCTCTATGGCCCACCTGGGCACACCCAGAGGTGTGCTACATCAATCCCCAGGGTGGGTCCCAAGCCAATCAAGCTGACACAATCAAGCTTCATCACAGAAGGGAACTTTCAGAAAGGATGACTTCTAATCCCTTCTTGAGACAAGGAACAAGGTCAGCGAGCAGGTGGCAAGGGAGAGGTATTTGGGGGGTGCTTGTGGGATTCTTGTGAGCCTCAGATAGGGCCTGGTATAGAGCACTGACTTCTTATAGATTTTGTGAAAAGGCTTTGACTGGACCTCCCAGGAGGACCTAGCTGAGGTCTCTGGCCAGTCTGGCCCTCCCTCAACGCTCATGGGCAAGAGACTGTGCCATCTTTCCAGGCAGTGGAGGGAAGTAGAGGTCTGGGTTGGGATCAAGGAGAGAAACTATTTCCCAAAATGGGAAGGGCTGATGGAACAGAGAAGGACAAAGCTTTAGAAATAGACCAAGCCATCTGCATCCTGGGTTCCTCAGGAAGAGGCACAGTAACAGTCCTTGAGTTGAGGTCTCCACACATGAATGAGGGGAACACAGCTAAACCCATGAGATCTACAGAGGAAGGAACAAGGAACAGCTGCCAAGGAGCACTGGGTTTTCTTTGGGGCAATGGCAGTTTTAAAAATGGATTGTGGTGACCACTGTACAGCTCTGCCAAAGCATAAAAACCACCCAGTCACATGCTTTTAAAGGTGAATTTGGGTATGTGAATTATGTATATCAATTTAAAAAATATTCTGCTAACCTCAGGAAGAGATTAATATACTGGTGGAGAAAGACAAGGACAAATAAGGATAAAATCATGAACAAAACTGTCTTTCTGTGGCTCTGGGGTGTTTGGCTCTCTTTTTCATAAGTTACAGCTCAGGAATCCTCTGGTTCTGCTTCCAAGTGCCTTTGACCAACCACCTGCCCATGACCTCCTCCCCCACCCAGCACCTCGAAGCCCTGTTGCCCAGCTACAGAAACCCAGAGCTCCAAGAGTAAAGCCAAGAATGAGAACAAGAGCTCTGGGGAGAAGCCCGGGGCTGAGGAATTCTTGGCAGCCAGAGACTCCTAGGCTTGCATGAGCCCTCCCTCTGTGGAGAGTCTGGTGTCGCTGTGCTTGGAAAGACAATTTCCTTTCCAGTGGCTTTGCAGTGGGGTTTAGATGATCTTTATCTGATTTGCCAAGACCCTCTTCCTCACTGAAGCCCTTCTATTCCATAAAGCAATTATTCCCATTCTCTGCCCTCAGCAAGCTTGAGAAGATGGCCAATTTGTGGCACCAGTATCCTCAGGGCTCACAAAGGACTTGCACCCCTCTTTGGGAAAGGGCTTTCTACTTGCTCTTACAATTGCTTTCAGAGTCATCTTGTTCATTCAGCCTATGTTTCTGAGGTGTGCAAGGCAAGTTAGATACCCCAATTGCAGTCCCAACCACAGGGACATTTAATAGACATTGTTAAATGGAATATTATGGTGCAAAAATTTCAAACTCTATAAAATTAGCCCCATCCAAATTTTGATACCCATCTTTCTTGTGATATAGGATTTCATGAAGCTTGAAGGGTCACCTAAAAAGTCAGTGGGAAGCAACTCCAAGATAACCATTTTCATACCTGTCTTGGTTACTTTTCTGTCATTGCTGAGACAAAATACCTGATGCCCAGAGTTAAGGAAGGAAAGGTTTATTTAGCTCACAGTTTATGGAAGTTTCAGTCCATACTTGGCTGGCTCCAAGGCAGAGTGGCACATGGCACCAAGCAACTGTTCATCGTGGCAGAACAGCAAAATAAGAGCAAAAGGGAGGAATGGTGGTAAGCAGCCTTTTCCTCTCCCTTACATATGCAAACTCTCCACCTCAGGGTGAGTGTAGCACTCACACCCATAATCCCAGCATTGGATCATGGATCAATCATAAACTCTACCCAGTACCCCCAAAAATAAAATAAAAATAAAAATAAAAATAAAAATAAACTCTAAAAGCCCGCCCCATGACTGCATGAGGCTTTGGGGGACAGCCAGACGCAAACCATAACATTACCCATGAAGGCCAAGAGAGGGCTACACAACAGATCCCGCTGGAGCAGGTTGAGACTGATGGTGTTATTGTGAACAAATAGGACTTGTTGTGTCTTTGACATTTTTGTGCTTAATATTTTGGTTCATTTTCTGGTAATGTGGTCGTGATTGATTTCAGGAAATACCACTCTGGATTATTCTGAAAGTCTATAGTTCTAGCAAAATTAAACTTTCCTTTGGACATCTAACAGTGTTTTGTAAAATTCAGTTTCCTTTTACATAAGTGCCCATGAAAACTATAATGCAAGTTTGGTCATTCAAGGCCGCATGAGAGAACAGGATAAATTGAAATCACCCAATAGTATAAAAAGTCTACCTACATCCTGGAGTTTAAAGTCCTTCCTGGCTTACCTTCTGGTTTTGTGGCTCCCCCTGGTGGAAGAGAGAGGAAGCGGAGAACTGGGGGAGGGATGCTCTTAGCCCAAATCCCCACACTCCTATGGTCAGCAGGAGTGTGGAGGATCTGGGACTCTCAGGCTGGGTGAGTCCTCAGGGCTCTTCTAGTCCACTCTTTAGGTTCTTATTTTTATTTTTTAATGTGGAACTGGTGTTTGAACTCAGAGCCTTCTCACTGAATGACACCTCCCTTTTCCACATTTTTATTTTGTGGCAGGGTCTTTATAAACTGTCCAGGCTAGGCTCAAACTTTTTATGCTCCTGCTTCAGCTGCCCAGAGTACTGGGATTACAGGCATGCACCACCGTGTTCTTGAGTTTTAAACTGAGAAACTTGAGATCCAGGGAAGAGAGGCTATGTCCTCACATGCCCCATTGAGGCCAGGACCTCAGAGGAGATGATCTTCCTTCATACCCCCTCACTAAAGGACCCTGGGGAGGAAGACTGCCCTGCCTCAGACTTCCCAGCTACAGGACCCTAGAGGACCACTCCCTCCCTGCATCAGAGGTTTCCAGCTAACAGGACCCCAGGGAGGACCTCTTCTCTCAAGACCTCTCGGCTAACTGGACAGGGAGGGTGCAGTCCTGCAGCCTAGAGGATGTGCTGGAGGGAGCCTGAAGTCTTCTCTAAGCTTTCTGTTTTCCCAAGAAAGGGGCCCTGGCCTGAAGTTGAAGTGTTCCACGCATTCCTGAGGCCAGTCTGGGCAACTTAGTAAGACTCTGTCTCAAAATTAAATTTTAAAAAGGGCTGGGGCATGCCTATTATCTTAGCCCTTGGGAGACTGAGGGAGGAGGATCACTGTGAGTTTGAGACCAGCCTGGTCTACAAAGTGAATTCAAGGCCAGTCTGAACTGCATAGTGAACTCTGTCTCAAAAAGACCAAAAATAAATAAATAAATACATAAAGACATAAATGAGTAAAGGCTGGAGAGCAACTCAGTGGTAGAGGGCTTTTCTTGTATGCAAATCCCTGGGCTCAGTCCTTAGCCTTGCAGAAAAAGGGGCACATTTGAAGTATCTGCTGCAGACAATGGGCAGTCACATGGCTGGAGGGACACGGGCCATTGCTGAGTTTAAAAGGCCCAAGCATGGTTGGGAATTGTGACCAGACGGTGGAAGTTGAGTCCTGGGCCCATTCCCCAGCCTCCCAGGGCAGTGTCATGCCACCTGTGTGCTGAGGTCTGTACAAGGAGTTCATGGGTTTATTTGGTTAGAGCCTCTGGGGCTGGGCTCGCATCAGTGCTGTGAGGCAGCAGGTGGTGACAGCAATGACAGAGGTGATGCTGCAGCCCCCTAGCAAGGGTTATAGAATGTGCTGGTGATGTTGACAGAGAGTGATCACACATACACACGATGGAATCAGTTCCACACCTCTGTCCTTGCTTCGAGCAGCA